TGTGTGTTTCTGTCTCTTTCTCCACCTCCCTCTCTCCCACCTTCTCTCTTTCTCTCTCCCATCTCTCTTACATATTACTGTCTCTCTCCCTCTCTCTCCTTTCTTTATATTTATATATACACCCCCTTTTTCTCTCCTGTCATCATTATTATTTTGTATGAATCCCAAGATCTCACATATTATTGCCCCTCCCCTCCCCAAACACGTCAAGTAGGTAACCTGTCTCTCTTTCTCTGTCCCATTTCTCCCTCTTTCATCTGCGTGTGTTCTTCTTCTGGTCTCTTTTTTTCATCTCTGTGCTCATGTTGTTTCTTTCTTTATTCTTCATTGTTCGCATTAATCCCGAGATCTCACATATCACTCCACGTGGGTGGTTAGCAGGTACTCTGGTGTAGTTTGCTCCTTCTTTCCTATTTAAAAAAATCGATAGTTTCTATTTCCCCTCCTTCTTTTTTGTGTGTTACTCTCTTCTAGCACCTCTAATCTTCGGCACCTAAAATATTACCTTATTGTGTTGCAAGTGCTGTAAAACTCTTACCAAAGCTAAAACATATTACTCCATCCCCCCTCCCTTTCCCTTCCCCACACAGGTCAAATAGTAACCCACTGTCTCTCTTTCTCTCTCACATTTTCCCCTCTCTCATCTGCGTGTGTCCTCGGGCTCCCATTTCGTCATATTTCTATACATTGTCATATTCTTTCTTTCCATACCCATCTTTACTTTGCATTAATCTCGAGATCTCTCATTACCCCATCCTCCCTCTCTTTCCCTTCCCTAAACAGGTCTAGTAGGTAACCTCCTGTCTGAGCGATTCACGTACCGCCGTGTGGTCTTTATGGGCGGGATCTTGGCCTGCCTGGGCATGACTCTGTCGTCACTGGCACCCACTCCTGGCTGGCTCTACGTCACTTATGGACTCATTGCTGGTATTTTTTATTATGATGTTCTCACACGATTATACTCTCTCTCTCTCTCTCTCTCTCTCTCTCTCTCTCTCTCTCTCTCTCTCTCTCTCTCTCTCTCTCTCTCTCTATCTATCTCTCTCTCTTTCTTTCTTCCCTTATTTCTCTCTCTCTCTCTCTCTCTCTCTCTCTCTCTCTCTCTCTCTCTCTCTCTCTCTCTCTCTCTCTCTTCTGTTGGGCGTTGTTACGCGCACCTCACCCAATTAAGATAATTATAGATGCAGGGCTTAAGTGACGGTTTTTCCACTCTAAATGTAGGTGTTGTTTTACCCCCCCCCCCTGCCCGTAAACCTCCTACAGCCGCTCATATAATCATTGAAGAGGCAAGCTCCGATACTTTAGGTCAGGTCCCTGGACTGAGAGGAATACATCATCCCGTCAGCAGAAAGTCCGTGATACTCAATGAAAATACTCCCAACTCGGGAATGGAACGTCGGTCTTCTGTGTTCGATGGCGATGCACCTAACCGCTTCACCACAGACGCCGGAGACGTCACCTGCTAGTGACCTGTTTTGGACAATCCCTCAAGGAAGAATCGGCAGTAGTCCTTTTTGTTATGAACACGTGCACAAAAGACGATACAACTTGATATTAATTTTGAAACTGTCTAAAACTGCCCCCGTTGTGGAGGTAAAAAAGGGCTATATTAGACAGGTGGCCGTCTTACGCAGTGTCATTATGATGTGAATTTTCTTTTTAATACACAAGGTTGCACAATAAATGCAAGTTGCCGTTTGCACAGATGATTGTGATTGTTTTATGTAGGTGGCGGTTAGAGCAGGTTTGACTGTAGATCTATTTCTGTTTTGTTTTGCTTTTTTTGTTAATTGCTTTTTGTGACTTTCACCATTCCCCGTCCAACTTGTTCAATACCCTGCCTGTCTCCTTCTCGTTCCCAGGAACGGGCAATGGCATGTCCTTCAGCCCTTGCATTGTCATGGTGGGCAAACATTTCAAGAAGTACAGGAGTGTGGCAAATGGCATTTCCGTCTCCGGGGCGGGAGTCGGCGCTTTTGCACTTCCCAATCTGCTTCGCTGGTTGCTAGGTACCTATAGTTTGAGCGGAACGTTGCTGATCCACGGTGGTATCCTGCTTAATGTCACTGTTTTTGCTATGCTGCTCAGACCCCTGAGCTATTATCAGCAACGGCAGAGGTCAAATGACACGGTCAGTAGCAGGCAAACGGCCCTCACACAAAACGGGGAAAGACTTACAAAAACGGACTCTCCAGATTTTCAACCATTGCTTGATGGTGGTGGTCCGACAAATAATAATGGGATTACGATAGAACAAGTAAATGGTGTTGACTTAGAATTGGATGTTGTGGAGAAACAAACTCCATCTACTGATAATAACATCACTGTAGAGCTCAAGACACATGAATCTAAATTAGACAATCATCAAGCGGGTGACAATGCTTCGTCTCATGATAAAGCTCCTATGATCCTCGAAGCAGAAACTAATTTGAACAATCGGTCCAATCAGAACTCGAGTTTGCTGCGGTTCCCTAGCAACATTGACATCATGGTATCATCTTTGCAAAGCCTTCCTGACGCCGTCGCGAGGACTGGCGATGACTCAGGCTCTCGTCCTGCTGATGGTTCTCCTCCCGGCGGTCCCCGTCATGGACTACTTTCTTGTTGTTGTTGCTGTAACAGATCTGGCGGGAAATCGTCGGGTCCGACAATCTTCGACTGGACTCTACTGACCAACCCAGTATTCCTCATTTATGCCATCTCCGCCAGCATGTCCACCTTTGCCTACTCCTCGTCTTTCATGATGCTGCCAGATTTTGCTGTAGGGGTAAGTTCTGGATAACTGGAATACCTGGAGGTGTCACCTCTGACTTAGAGACCTTCCATCCTTCACTTTCGCGAGCTGCCGTTGTACATTCTGCTATACCCAGGCCAGTCCATGTTTTTATGTTGTCCATCCACGTTACTAATTTTCTTCCCCCTGGCTCTCCTGTCCCACATCTTTCCTTTAAGCACCTTTTTCGCTGTGGTCTGGTGTCGTTTTAAGTGACCAAAGTATTGTATTTTCCTGCATTTTATTTCGTTAAGCAGGGTTTGTCTTGTATGGAGAGTCGGACACACCTCACTGTTCGTCTTTTTTGCTTTCCAGCTAATTCTGGCCATTCTGCGGTAGCATAGCATCTTAAACAAAGTCAGTTTGTTTTCTTCTTTCGTTGTAAATGTCCAGATCTCAAGGCCATATATATATATATATATATATATATAGGAATATGGGGCAGATGTAGCATTCCACTATTTTCTTTCTTAAAGGTTGAGGTAGTTCCCTGAGTGTAAATAGTTAATGAATGTGGCTGAATCTTGTTTTTGCAATAGCTGTTTTTATGTTTATTTCTTTTTCACTTTTGCCTTCGTCTGTGATTGTTGCCTCTAGATATTTGAATTGGTGTATGTTCGATTCTCTCCTGTTGTTTTTTCAGTAGATTTTTATTTGACCATTGTTTTTGTTTTCTTGGCGTTCATGATGAGACCTGCCGTGCTGCTATTCTCCTTTACTTCCTTTACAATTTTAGAAAGGTCCTCTCTCATGTTTGCAAGCAGGAGGGTATAGTCTGCTTATTTCAGGTTATTGAAGTTGCGGCCCCCAATAGTGACTCCATGTGGGTCTTGAGATTCTCTTAAAATTAACTCTGTATAGATTTTTTTAAGGGACATAGGACACATCTACTCCCCTGTGGATTTGAGTTTATTCCATTTAACATAATTGTTGCCTTCTGCTGCCAGTGAAGATTTCCTATGATTCGGTTATCTTTGCCATCAACAGCTATCTTCTCCAAACACCCAATCTGCATGATGTGATGGATTCTGTCGAAAGCTTTCGAGTAATCGATAAAGCAAGCAAAGATGTCTTTTTGGTCTTGAATATTTTTCTGCTCTATTGTCTTCATGCTGATGATTCCTTCTCTGATGCCACTTGTAGACAAGAGGCCGAACTGTTGTTCTCCAATTTCTTTGTCAACTTTGCCCTTGATTCTCTCCAAAATGACTGTCAAAAATATTAAATATGTTCATGGTATGTGAAATTACATTGCTGGTCCTGAAGTTTTAGATAGGTTTTAGTTTATGAAATGTCCCAGTAAACAACAAAAATCAAATTTACCCCCCCCCCCCCCCCCAAAGAAGAAAAAAATCTTAAAAACGAAACAAACATAATCTTCCCACCACCTCCAAAAAAGGAATTAAATAATATTTATACTCAGGGGCAAAAGAACATCAAATAACTAAAGCATGAATAAAACACACTACACTCAACAGGGGTTTGTCATGTGTAAATGACTTTTTAATTCATCCAATTTACACAGCCATGAGAGTGTCAATAGGTGGGTCTTTTAGTACGGTTTTAGCCTCACTATGTTATTTCGTGACCTTGACCTTGGGGCAGAAAGTCAGTACCGTGTGTAGCCTCCATTGGCTGCAATAAGGGCCCTGCATCTTCGATCCGTGGAGTTCAAGAGTGTTTATTTGTCGACTTGGGATCTTTGCTCACACCAGGCCAATGGCTGAAGCCGATTGAGGAGCTCTCCGTGGGGGTGGTTGCAGCTGGTTGAGCTGCCTGTGGATAGCGTCCCAAACATTCTCAATGGGATTTACGTCAGTTGAACGAGCCTGGTGAGGCAAAAGATTGATGTTAGTCTGCCCCAGGAACTGCTGTGTTAAATCGGGCAGTATAAAGTCTCGCATTGTCTTGCTGGTAAAAGAAATTTAAGCGCTGAGAATTGATCCCATTTCCTTGTCTTTGACCCATTCTCTTGAAGAACAGTGGCCTAGTTCTTTGACAGAGCAATGACGCTTGACCCTCACCAAAGGTCTCTTTCCACGACGATGGCATCAATGTTGCACGCCAGGTCTGTGAGCCACTCACGGATGCGCCCATTTGACGGATCAACGCAGAATCTTCCCTTCTCCATTGTCTGCTACTCCAGTTCATGTGAACCTGTGCCCACAGATGCCATTCACGGCGGTGTTGAGGGGTCAGAACTGGCTTGCTATATGGCCATCTACACCGGAGGCCTATATAGTGCAATCTCCACCGTACGGTTCTGGTACTCAGGGCACGACCCGTTCATCCGATGGTGTTCCCGGTGGTCTCGGTGGCTGTCAGGAACGGATCCAACCGGTATTGGCGCACCATGAGGCGATCATGAGCTGCAGTTGTCGCCCTTGGTCTTCCGGCTCCGGGGAGATCAGTGGTCGCCTTGGTGTCGCGAAACCGGTTCTGTAAACTGTAGATGGTGGAGACATGCAAGCATGTAACAGTTACCACATTTTAGTCGTCCAGCGGCCCTTTCGCGGTTTTCTGATGAAAGTCTAAGCATCTTGATATCGCTTTTGTTTCTAGCTAAATTCCTTATTTCGAGATTTCAAATCTGTAGGCCAGGCCTTCATGATCTCATGATAGTTGTTTAGTTGTTTGGTGCAGAAGCGACCAATCAGGGCTTTGCAATGCTCGAATTAGGTCAATCTAGCAGGTTCAGACATGTAAACAGTGCACACCTAGGGAAACTTTATCCAGACGATGAAAATTTTGCGTTTCTTTTGCCACTGAGTACACACACACACACAC